CATCTAGAAAAGAGAAACTTCTGTTGAAGTCATCACTATATAACACAACCTGGGTCAATAGAAGTAATAAAGTGATTGGGGTGATCATTTACAACCCCCACACACACACACACACACACACACACACACACACACACACACACACACACACACACACACACACACACACACACACACACACACACACACACACACACACACACACACACACACACACACACACACACACACACACACACACACACACACACACACACACACGCTCTGATTTAGTGTTGGGTTCCTCCTTAAAACCTACAGTATGTCTGTTTATGGTCCTACTTGAGGAGGCACTGAGCAGACTGAAACAAAGGAGCCGCCTGGCAGGGTTTTCTTCTCTTAACAGCGGACACCATACGGCTCGGACAGACTCCACTGCTCCTCACCTTTTGGGTTGAGTGAGCACAGTGAGGGGCTTTTTTTCACACTACTGATCCACAACAAACTTGTACCTCGAGGGCTTCCACTCAGCTGAGGTAGGAAAAGAGATCTGGCCATGCTGCCCAAAATCTCCACAAGAACAGGCAATGTCTGTAATATTTGTAGTAATAATATTATAGTTGTGTTTTTAAAGCATGATTATTTTATTCTACTGTACTCTTTATACCTTAAAGGAGCAATATGTAACTCTGACACCTAGTGTTTAAAATGGGTACTGCAGTCCAAATTAAAAACATCAGAGAGAGCCGTCCCCCCTCCCCCCCCCTCCTCTCTAGAGTGGATGCTCACACAGGTCACCATGTGGTGGACACTGAAGCTTCAGTGTTTATCCAGCTCTGCATGGGTCTGTAAACCTTTCTGTGTTCTAACCTCTCTCCATTTTTCAAAAGCATCTCCAATATTGATCCTAGTTTGAGCACGTTTCTGCTTGTGGAGCTTATTAGAAACATGCAGAGGCTTCTTTTCAAGGTTTATTTTTAGGATCTGTCTGCCTTTATTTAGAGAAAGGACAGTGGATAGAGTCAGCAATAGCGGAGGGAGAGAGAGAGAGAGAGAGTGGGGAATGATATGCGGGAAAGGAGCCACAGGCCGGATTTTAACCTGGGCCTCTAGCTTGGGGGACAATAGTCTACGTACATGGGGCTACCAGTGCCCAATGTAGAGGCTTTTTAGTTTGAGTAAAATCCGTTATGTCTGAACCAGTTCTCTTGCCCATAGAGGCAACACCTGTTGGTTTGCCCTTTGACTGCCAAACTGAGGGGCGTCCAAAACGGCCATGAGGGAGTTTCAACCTTCTGTGGTCAGAACAAAAACAGAGCATTCAGGAGCAGAATCTAAAGTTAGAAGGAGGACATACTGGCTGCTGCATTGTTGTCAGAGAAGACAGAACTTCAACACAGCATGTTTCTTTAAGGTCTGATCATATACGGTCATGTTATCATTTCATTCAGTAGATATCTTACAGATTGGAACTTTAACTCTTTGACATTGGATGTATATTATTTTTGTTTGAGTTAGGCTTTAGTGCTTGTAGAGATTAAAAAGTTACTTTATGGCCTCTGTGGGGGAAAAAAACAATAGAGCTCCACATGGGGAGAGGGAAAAAAAACTAATCTAAATCCTAAGCTTGTAAAAACCATATTAGTCTTTGGTATAAAGTAATTGGTTTGTTTGGATACCTCCGTACTGTATGCGATGATTGGATTGATCCATAGAGGCCCCGAGGCAATACAGCAGCTGATTAATATTTGGAAATTAAAAAGGAGAATTGTGTATAGCGATGATATAGCAGAGCTTAAGTGTCTCTATGGAAAAACAACAATCATGCCACATTGAATATCTGATGTTGTTTTGCGATGTAAAGTGTTTTCGTTTGTCTTTATTTGGCTGGAGAGTTGGGATTGACTTTGTAGCCGTCTGTGCCTGCAGGGCTCAGGCTGAAGTTTGGAGATGAGTGTGTGTGTTTGAACTGCCAGTGCCTCACCTGGTGTTGCTGGTACACACACACATACAAGGTTAGTCATCTATTATGGATGATCCAGCACAGACAGTGAAGGACGCTGTGGTCACCTTGTTGGATGTGAGTGCACGGGGAGAAGCTTTGAACCTTGCATGAGGAAGCCTCCAACTTAGCGAGCAGCACACATCAAAACTACAGCAGTATGACTGGAAATGACTCTATCCGGCAAAAAAAAAAAAAAGAAAAGTATTTTCAGGCTGGCTGAAACAACAAAAAATGCTTTTCTGGCCTTGGACCCTGACTTTGGTGCAGTTCATTGAACCTGATTTCCCTTTAGGATCGGACCCATAATAATCCTGGCTCCTCTTCAATCCTACTGAAGTGTCGAGTCACAGCTCATCCATTAGGCATAAACAGTCTCGTGGTGGGCGCAGTGGCCAGGCAGTGACCTGTGTCCGATTAGACATTCTGCTTCCTGGCTGAGCCCACCTGGCCAAGGTGTGCAGAACCTGGGATAATTTCAGAGTCATTTCAAGCATTTGATAAAAAAAACTGGCAGCAGCTCAATCAACCGTTGAGATATATAGTGAATATATTCACTTTATTGAAACGGACAGACACACTAATCATTCAAGACGGTTACCTCTTCAGCATGCATTGCATTTTTTTGTGTGTACATACGTATATCTCAACAACAAAAAAAAGCCAAAACAACAAAACAGAAAAGCTAAATTAGAAAGAAACAAAGTAATGATTGTAATGGTGGTTGGCAGAGGTTATGGGGGTGGGAGTTGTCTTTTTACAGACTGTCAGATTGTATGTATCTGTACCCCAATATGTACCTGAATGCAGCAGGATATTCTCCGGAGAATTCACCTTGAGTCAATAGGAGGGGGAGTGAAATTTATAAACTGTGACTGCTGCGCGGTGTACAAACTGTCTGCCCACAACCGCTAAGATCTCTGTGCAAGTAATTAAACGTTAGCCTTATGTTTTCTGTTCATCAGTAGCGTTAATATAAAGACAAATATTCTCATTATATCATCGTATAGTGGACTCTGTTGCTTTGCCCACTACTTCCGCATTGTTGCATTGTTGTTGTTTTTCAGTCACCAGGCATCTTTAAACTGGATACCACACTTCACATAACCTCAAAGATTTCTTTGTTAAAGCTGGTGTAAACCAGAACAATAGATTACCTTTGACTATTTGTTGCATAAGAGCAGTTTTCCTTAGATTTTTTGGCATAGACTTTAAGTAACTGAGACATCCAAAGCTGTCTCCCACCTCCTCTGTCACGTCTCCCCACACCACTGCCTGTGCTGACTGCTGATGACCTGCAGTGTCCTAAAACACACTATGGAGAGAGCTCCAGTGACAGGTGTGAGCTTGAGCTCAGACGCCCGTATAGCAGCCCTTCAGGACCCCTTTTGTATCCACAAGGAGCCGAACGGGGTGACACGGCTTTGGATTTATAGGTCGCGGCCTCCAGCCGGGTGGCAAGCTGCAGCGGGGGCCTGGGCAGCGCAGCGGCAACACGGCTTCCATCTGTTGTCACGGTCTGCTCATATCTGCATGCTAATCCCTCTCTACCCACACCTTCAGGAAAAAACACCGCTGTGGCAGCCCTGCCACCCCGGCTCTTTTCAGGATGAGAGGAATTAGCAAAGCAGGTAGCACAAAGACACAGACCTGAGGCTGATGAGATGTGAAATGCAGAAAGGGCAGGGACTAAAAAAATTGAGATTAGAGGGGAATCAAAGAGGTAAGAAGCAGAACCTCTGCTCTGCTTTTTTTTCCTCATTTGCACTTAAACATGTTGTCACCACTCAAGCCATGTGCAGGCCCCGCAGATCAGCCTGCTCACACGTGCAAAACCTGCGGATAGTCAAGGTCGGTTATCTGTTTCAAGGTCTCAAAATGGGTGACATTCAGCGGGTGTGTGGAAAGTGCGACTCCCTGCCTTCCGTTCAGCAGATGTAGCTGCTGGCAAAAGTCTCCTCAAGCTGACTAATCATTTGTGTATGCAGCTATAATATGCTTTCAATGTCTGAAAATACACCTCATCTATCAAAGTGCGATTGTAATGTCTTTGGGCTGGGAAAGGGCACTGGGAGTAGGTGTGGCATATCTAAGATCTAATAAATATACATTTCCGCAGGCAAGGGGAGGAAGCAGCGAGATCTAAGCATCCATTTCCTACTCTGCCGACAAAGCAGATAAGGCTTGATACAATGCAGGCATGCACAAATCTACATTATGTGAGCTCTGTAAATATATGTTCCACACGTAAATACAGATTTTTTTTGCCGCCTATAGGCATAAAAGAAAAAAAGGTAATGCATTCATCTGTTCCATATATTTAAATCCCAAAGAAACCCACTGTTTTAGTACAGAAATGCAGCCAGACTCCCTCCATGTCTGTGCAGTTGTAACACCCTCGTGCTCCATGTTGCACGTCTCTGTGCCCTGTGGCAGGCTGCAGGAAAGCAGGCTAGTCACTCAGTATGTGTCCAGTATAAACAAATCTGTCAGTGGCAGAGCTGCTGTTGTTGTTGTTGTTGTGCAAAGCTTTGACAGAGATTTCATGTACTTCTGGAACAAAAGAAGAGTTATTATCCCGGGGAGTGAACTGTAAGACAGAGATGTTTTCTAATGAAACCTTGTTGCCTCTCAAGCAGCCATCGGACCATGACAGACGTCTGCGGGATTAATCTGCTCCTTTAAAGCTTTACCCGAATAATAAAAAAAAAGAGTGCAGTCAGCTGTTTCATTTGGAGAAACAAAAACAAGATGAGGGGGGGGGATGTTATCTCAAAGATGATATCTCAGACAATGTTTTAGCTTCAGGGAAATAACTTAACCTCACTAAAACAACTTTATATGTCTGAATCTATATACATCTTAGGGTGGGAAAAAAAAGTAATTTCTTTCCTTCTGTGTTTGAATTTTGCAAATGAAAGAGATCCAATTAAAAGAAGTTCCTCAACATCAGACTTTGAAATCCATCTTTAGCAGCAGCTTTGTGATCACTCAGTCCCAGAACACAGAGGCTTTTTACCATGACAGAGATGTGCAGGATGCGGAGCTCCTCCTTGGCAGAATTGTTGGCGGGGTCTTCGGTGGGCTCGGGGAGGTTCAGGCTGCCGTCCTGGTGGTGGATGTGGAAGAGGAGAGTGCCGTTCTCCAGCCACTGCTGCCTCCAGCGCACCAGAGGGATGTCCTCTGAATTCCCAGAGATCTCTGTCAGAGACAAAAAAAGACAAAGAGGGGATACATGAAAAGATGTTTGCGGGCAATATTCCCTAACAACCGTTGGACAACATCATCGAGAATATTCACTCGAGTGTGAGCAGTTAACCAGGATCGTTGTATTTTAAGTCGTTGGCCTTTACTGGATTGGACAGCTGAAGAGAGACAAGAGGTGGTGGACAAACCAACGGCCGCTGACGAAGACCAAACTTGGGGTGCGTGACCTAACCGCTCTGGCTACCTGCTACACCAGATATAACATTTGAAGATGCTGTTTTCTAGTAATCAGGACTTAACATTTGAGAGACATACTGGCTAAGAAATGTGGTACAAAGTAGCAAATCCTATTCATAGAGAGTAGAGGCTAGTACTAGCAAAAACAACTATCTAAGAAATTGCACTGTGAATGCTGCATGCTGAATAAGGAGACTCTTTATAGCTAATGCTGCGTCTGAATAGGCTGAATCTTTGAAGTATGAAAGATGTTGGAAATACTGTTGAATAGCCTTCCTTCCCTAAACTGCCAATGATGTGTCCGAGAGAGGAGAGGATGGAGGATGATGGAGGAGTTAAGAGTAGATGACAAGCAATTGTGTGTCGACCAGTAATGATGATGTCATCTCAATCCTCTGTGTAGGCCTGCGAGGTGGAAACTGTTTGTTAACTGCAGTTTAACTGCTCGGTGACTCTGCTTGCTTGATGTGGTTTTTGGAAATTTAATGAAGGACTTCTGCACTTTTACCCTTGTAGCATGCATTTTGCATTTGTATTTTATTATGTAACTCAACCTGCAGCAAGATTGACCTACAGGTACAAATAAAGAAACCTGAACCTGAAACAGTGGTGTTACATCAGTGTGCCAAGTCTGTTACTGCTACCATCAAACTGATCACACATTCATGGCTGTCAAACAAATTGGATGTTGATCATCCTCTCGCATCATGATTATGATATTATGATAGACATACAGCTGTACTTCTGTAAAGTGCTGATGACTAAAGAGGACACACTAGAAAAAGAAGGTAAAGAAGGAGAAAAAAGAGCTAATTATTATGTAGCGACTCAAAGATTGAAGAATATCCTCCTTTTAAACAAGATTAAGTCTCAGATCTCCCCAAAACATGTCTGAGAAGTGTCTTGTTCTAAATCCACTCTGATCCTGTATTTGATCATGCCTATAAACCCCTCTATTCAGCCCTGCTCAGAACAGGCTGTTTCTGTGTCTGTACCTTTAAATATGTAAATGAGCTGTGTCTAACCACGCCCCCTCTCTGGAAGGACTTGGGTGTACTCGGTGCTTTCTCTCTCCATGTCCTATTGTTTACAGTGAGAAGGCAGACTCAGAGGGCAGAACAAACACCTAGCTGTGGGAGTGTCACCCACCTGGGGGAGGGGCTACTACCCTTTGTGATGTCATGAAGGGAACATCTCCAAACAGCCTGTTAGAGCAAACGTTTTCTGTAAAGTGGAGCAGGCAAAAGACGGAGAGGATGGACTTTTCTCATCATTGGGGGGTTTGTAGACGGACTCGAGGCACATATTAGTATTAAAGAAACATGGTGAAGTGTATTTTGAATAATTTTGGAACTTTTACAAATAATCAACACCGGTAAAATACACGTTGTGGCTCCTGCAATTACGTGTTGCCTTCACACTGTGAACCTGTCAGGATGCTGATGATGGCATTTAACTCAACAATCATATAGTTGTAGCGCTCATTCTAACAGTTGAGTCACTACAAGGGAAATAAGAAGTTGATATGCCATCAACACCCACCTTCCTCTTTTTTGCAAGTCATTTTCAGGTGTTACACTGTAAACGGTGGTCAGTTGCTTTCATATCCATTTGAGAATGACACTTATTAAACACAGTAGATGAGGATGAGTAAAATGATGATGGTTTGACTGCAGCAGAGCAGGAGAAACACTTGTCTTTGTCATTCCTCAGCTCCTCACACAGTCCTTCCCACTCCTCACCGTTCCAGGTTCTGTATTCCAAAGCACACAGTGCAGAAATGGAAAACATTACAAATGCATGGCGGGGCTTTATGGGTGACTTTCTGTGATGTAAGTTTGAAGAGCAGCAACGATGCATCAGGCTCATAAGTCCTGAGAAGTGTGAGTGCTGCTGAGAGGGAGACATAAATCAAAATATAGATCACAGAGAGCGCAAACAAGACACTGAATCCAAACACCGAGTCGACAAACAAACGCTGCAGCTCCAACTGAGTTTTGTTCATGTTCAGATGTTAGTGTTTCACTGCACATTCACGGCTCAAAAACAGTCTAGACACTGAATAACGTCTGTTTCAGACTTACAGGTTACATGTAAGTGATTTAATAACCGTTCTCAATGTGCACTTTTGAATGTAACAGTGTTTTATTAATTATGATAAAAAATATAGTTACACATATATAGGTCATTTTTAAATCCCAATTCCCCCAAAACTATACTTGTTCTACCCCAAACACACTGACCACCATGATGCTTTCACTCTGTACTCACTCAGTCATTCCTACAGCATCTGAAGCGGTAGAAGTCAAGACCACACTAACCAAGACCAGAGTGGGGATCAACAATTTTTTATTTTTTTTTCACTTTTATCTTAGGGTATATTTTAATATTAGGTTACTACTGATATCAAATGTGTCTAAATTAATTTAGTATTTGCAACAAACTTTAATCTTTAACCTGCTCAACTTATCCACACATGCGCACAGACACAAACAGCAGGAGTACGCCTCTCATTTTGAAAAGTTCCACTCGATATTCTCTTAATTATAGGAGTTATAGGAGCACAGCATCAGCAGCAAGCAGCTGTACATTAACATTATTTCAAACAAAGCCATGAGAAGCTTCAGTTATGACATGAGAAAGGCACCTCAATCAGGGTTTTACAAGACAGATGTACAGTGGACCTCTCTCTCTCTCTCTCTCTCTCTCTATCTATCTCTGAAGCTCATGTGATTATTAATGGTGATTAATCACAGCCTCTATGATTAAACACAACTGTTGTATTCAATTTTATTCAATTGACAGCACTACTTTTGAGAAGTGCCAGAGATGCAATAAAGAAATATCAAATTATCCAAAGTGCTAATCCGTATTTTCTTTTTAAAGCTTTTCATAAAACATTTTCTCACTCAAAATATTTATATCAGTAGCCACTCAGTGTGTTCTTTGTGCATTCTTTAATTGCTGGTTTATAGTTTCCATTGTTGGTATCTGAGGACCTTCCTCCCGTTCAGCATTTCTAATTAAGAATTTGCACATCAATCACTTGTTTAGTGCTGTTATTTGCAGGATGGTACACAGTGCACATCCTTATCCTGCTTATGGATTACTTTGGACACTCTGCCATGAAATAGACTATTACACTAATTGCCAGCATGATCCAGTGCCGTGCATAAATCTAATGTACAGATATATTGCGCCGCTTCCGCTGGTGTACAAGCCATCAAATCATTTAAAGCTCATTTTGCACACAGATGTCTCAATGAACCGGGCAGAGACGCAGAGCGAGCACAATGCCGAGCAGCCTGGTTGGTGGGGCTGCACTAAAGTGACACAGAATGTCCATAATTGATCAAAGTCCATCGAATGCGATGGTTTTATTTGTGTAGCAGGGCAGCGCTGGTTGCGGGGAGGAATCAGGGTCTGTAAATAATAATGAGGATTTGGCCTGATCAAAAGGAAAAGCCCAGAACTGAATGACTGGAGCAGGAAGTTAAAGCACTCTCAAGGGTGTGTGTGTGTGTGTGTGTGTGTGCGTGTGGGTGTGTGTTGGGCGGGGATAAGGTTGAAAACAACAACTTAAGAGCCACGGGACGGCAACTGAACAGACATAAAGTATGAAACAAGGCATCCAGCTCTCAGCCAGGACCCCTACTTATCACTGTAAGGGCCTCGTGTAGAGCTCTATATATAAACACAGGCTAACCCCGCGCTGTACAAGACCATTACACTGATTACACACCAAGATGTAGTTGCAAGCAGGATTTTCCTGCTGATCACAGGCTTTTCCACAGCGTGCAGACATCAGGAACATGGATCCAGTTTCAGACCCTTAGCACCTGCACCATGCAGGTCTCACATGGTTCAGGGCTTTGAGTTATTTCCATCTGTTTTTTTTTATATATCTGGGTCTGCTATTCAAGTCTTAGGATCCTCACACAGGTAATTAAAGATCTGATTAAAAGCTGTGCGAGTTTTCATTAAAGTAGCTATGGGAGGAAATACAATTAAACAAATCAAGGTCGGGCAACTAGTGAGTCAGAGTTCTTCACAGGGAATAAGTGATATTTGAAGTCGATGTCCATGGAGTGAGGGTCTGTCAAAAAAAACATTCTGTTTGTGGCAGTGTTTTTTTTTGTAGTATGTTCGTATATCTAGAGCATAATTGGCCCAATACCAGACTTCTAAACTTCAGAGACAATTCAAGTAATAATCGAACAACATTGATTTTGGTAACCATGGCGATAAAAATGGACGTCCTAGACAGCCAACCCCGGATCATTTCTCGCTTTTAATTAACAAAGTTAGCAGAAAAACATTCACCACATTATGGAAGCTTTGCCAACTTTTTTTGTGCAATTTATACAGTGTGCAAGAAGTTTTTATTTTTGAAGGAGTAATTGCTCACTTACACAACTGTCCAAGGAAATCCATATTCTTTTTTTAAGTTTTGGTACTTTTTGATATTATGGGTGATTTAAAAAACCAGAGTCACATCCGTTTAAAACATGTGGCATCAAAAAAAGTATGGAAGTATCAAACATTTGGACAACCTTAATCTAGACCCCTGCTGCATGACTGTGACCTGTTTTTCAATCTGTTTAATTTGATTCAATCAAGGTGGCTCAAACATTTGCTTCTGCCAATATTTAAAGCAATGTAAAAAATGTCAGTCATAATGTAATTAGTCTGTCTGTCTTCACATTAAATAGCCAAATTACATTTTAAAACATGATAGGAAACGTATGCTCAGTGTA